CTTGCCGCAGCACCGCTTTAGTATGCGAACATAACAGCGCATAACTCATTTCCAATTGTGCAGCCGGTCTGTTTGTATCCCTTATGGGTATCTTTACCATCAAGCGGGTCTGTCACGACGAGCTGAGTCTATATCTATGTGGCAAACTACTGGCACTATTTCTCTGAAAATTTGCATATAGCGTTTATCCGAGGTGCTCGTTTCAGCTAAAATATTTTCAGTGTTCTCCAACTTCCGGTTATACCGGAAATGGACCCCAAATTCATTATTTTAAATGGAATGTACCAATTTTTATTGAATTTTCGAGATCCCCACTAAATATTCTCAGTGTTTGCACAGAGAGGATCCATAGCTTATTTATCCATAGGTAATATTATTATACCGTTGGTCAGAAATTTGCACCGAATTTCCCTATCTCAAAAAGTCGAAAACTTCATTTTTTTAAATGGCAACCCCAATTTTTTCCTACACCACCGTATTGTACGCTGAAAAAAACAGGAACTTTGTCATTACATCCCTATGTCTAAAACGTATGGTTTTCGTAGAAACTTGAAAAAAATGAAATTTTCTTGATTTTTAGTAAATATAAAATTATTAGTGGGCTTTGGTTTGAGGGCAGAGATATGAAACAAAAGCTACTGTGCGCTATAATTTAAGGAGACTTTGTGATTAACATCAAAACGAAGGAGTTTGCTAGTTTCAAAGAAGCAGCCCATGGGCGCGGCCTGCATTCAAAAATTCTCCTCAAAGCCAGAGAAGTGGCACTCCGAATTTCTTCCGAAATGCATCACGAACTCTTTCTTGGCATTCTTCCTTTGTTGTAATTGGTGTAACATACAGGATATCTTTTATACGACCCCAAACAGAAAATCTAATGGAGTGAAATTTTGGCAGATGCAACCCATCGCAATAAAAATAATTTTTCGGAATTACACTCGAGTCCGGCCAAATATTCTCAGTGTTTGCACAGAGAAGATCCATAGTTTACATAACCCTTGAAAAGTTTTTTAAAAAATTATACAGATTGGTCAGAAATTTTTCCCGAATTTCCCTATCTCGAAAAGTCGAAAACTTAATTTTTTTAAATGGCAACCCTAATTTGGGAGTTCCTTTTCAAGTATTATGTAGCTATGGGTCGTCTCTGCGTAAACTTTGGGAATATTTGGACGGACTCGAGTGTAATTTCGAAAAATTATTTTTATAGTGAAGAGTTGTATCTGCCCAAATTTTCGAAATGACTGAAATAATTGAAAAATGGTGCACTCTAGACATATGATGACTTTATCAAATTGTATTAAAATTCGGAGGGGATCACGAAAATTCAATAAAAATTGTAAAAATAACGAAGTTGGGGTCCATTTCCGGTATAACCGCAAGTTGGAGAAATCTGAAAATATTTTAGCTGAAACGAGCAATTCGGGTAAACCCGTATGCATATTTTCACAAAAATAGTGCCAGTAGTTTGCCATATACATATAAGACTCAGCTCGTCGTGACAGACCCTGTACATTTGGATTTGGATTATTCTCTACTCTTTTACATGTTTCTGGTATTTTGTTTAACAAATTTTTAAAAATTTTTATTTCATATGTATGTTTTATGATAAGTTTCATAGACAAATTAATCAAAAAAATGTAAAAACATGCATATTTTTATTTCATTTTTCTAGTAAGGGTTATTACGTTTTTTTTTACATTTCTAATTAATGCTACTTTAGTTCATTATTGTTAAAAAAATGAGTAAATGAATTTCGTTTGAAATGGTACATTGTGGTTGCAGCACTNATTTATTTTCAAGGGTAAATTTCCTGGATATATACCCGGGGGTATTTACCCAAGATGGGTATTTAGAGGTATTTATAAAATTTAATTTAAATTGAGTTGATGGCAGTTTTGCAAGCACTTCAAGAATGCAGAGTTGATTATCGATATACCAAACTTATTTATAACATCTACAAGAATGCTACAATGACGGTAAAATGAAAGTACTGAAGAGAGTAGAAGTAGTAAACTACTGATTGTGAGTAAAACAAAGCGATACACTATTAAACCCAAATTGTTCATCACAGTCCTCAGAGTGCATTTAAACAACTGGTTTGCACCCAAAAAGATATAAAGTACAAATGCTTAATTAATTTGCACTACGTAGACGATATAGTTCTTATATCGGATAGCCTTGGAGAGATTAAACTAATGCTGAACGACTTAAAGGAGGTGTGCGCAAGAGTCGGGCTAAATATCAACGTGGAGAAATCAAAATTTATGACAAATCTTGTTCCCAACTCTAACATCAATATTGGGGATAATGAGATTGAGAGGGTTGTCAGCTATGTATATCTTAGCTATGAGGTTCGTGTATCGAGAGATAATCAAACAAGCGAACTAAACAGAAAGATCACATTCGTATGGGCAGCCTACGGGAAACTTAGAGACATATTCAAGAGAAAATGCCAAGAAAGGCTTTCAATGAATGCGTGTTTCCGATTATGACATTAGGCTCCGAAACTTTAACATTAACGGTGGCCACTTCCAGGACGATCCTGGTTCTAACTCTGAGGTACTACATACCAAAATGAAGACCTACGAAGAAAAACTGGCGTAAATGATGTGATCAACATTGTAGCAAAGCTTAAGTGGAACTGGGCAGGTCATGTCGCGCGAATGAAGAATGAGCAGTGGACAAAACGGTTGCTTGAATGGAGACCGCAAGCGAACAAACTAAGTAGACGTCAAAAGAATGACCAACAATTGGATTCAGACTATTTCAGACAGCACAGAATAGAATCGAATGGAACAGAATAGGGGAGATCTCCAACAATGGACGCAGAGGGCTACTTGATGACAATAATTATAATAACTTGATCTAATCTAAATTACGACAGATTCGTTTAATGATAATACGTCTTTGGTTGTTGACAATTCCTCGTCTTCAACGTCCTCATCATCTTCCTCTTCATTTTTTTTGGAATCTGATATATTTTTACTGGTATCACATTTATACCCACTGTTTGGGTATTTACCGTGGGCTGGGGTAAATACCCGGATAAATATCCATTTTATAAATACCTACCCGCGGGGTATTTACCCAGCGCCCATCACTGGCACTAACTATCGGCAGGGTTGAATATAAAACGTACATAGAAATTTCAAACCGTTCCAACAGCGTTGACGAAATGTACGCGTACACGAACGTGTCCACGGACGAACATGCGCAGAAAAAAGTCCTGTACTACTCGTGTACGCATAACGCGTACACGACTAGTACAGATATAGTACCCTTAAAGCTGATAGTACCCTTAAAATTGCCTAAAGAATCACCCCCTGAAGTTTGGGCACGTCATTCAGATACACCTGTATAAAAAAAATACTAAATGATTAGTACAAAATTTTTTAATGTAGTACAAAATTAGTACATAAATAGCACATAATTATGGCACTATCAAAACGCTGATATCTTGAATGAGGGGTGTAGAGGTACGGACCTCAAGATTTCAGTTCTTAAATAACGCGTGTGAAGTTAGCCATAGATTTTAAACTGAAAAAAATGCGTGATCGGGGTATTCAATCGATCTAATTTCAACGGCATCGTATTCATGGTCGCCTCTTGTTTCAGATTCGAAAAGAAAATTTTCCTAACCATTTCTTATTTTCCGGGAAAATCGATTTTCTTCAAACATTCGCAAATTTCGGCCGATTCGGTTCGAGGTTTCTAGTCGATCTCATTTCAACGGCATTGTATTCCTGGTCGCCTCTTGCTTTAAATTGGAACAGAAAATGTTATTTATTTATTTATTTATTTATTACATAATACTTAAGAGTACAACAAAAAATAATAAATTAAACTTCGGTTTTTGCACTTTAATGGATTTTTATTTTTAATTTTCACTCAACCGGTTTCACTGTGTTTATACAGCATCTTCAGGAGTTATCGTCAATTCCTTACAAAATATACATTAGATTCATTCATTTGGCAATTCCTCACTTGTTCCTACCGTTAGATCATGTAAATGATTCNCCTTACAAAATATACATTAGATTCATTCATTTGGCAATTCCTCACTGAATGAATGAATCTAATGTATATTTTGTAAGGAATTGACGTAAGTTTTATTATTGTATTAATTTAAGAATCCACTTAATTTAGCACGTTAATCCGAGATTTATTTAAGAAAATTTGTATTTATGTAGGATAACTCCTGAAGATGCTGTATAAACACAGTGAAACCGGTTGAGTGAAAATTAAAAATAAAAATCCATTAAAGTGCAAAAACCGAAGTTTAATTTACACACATAAAATGGAAAGAAAATCACCAAAAAATATAAATTCAAGATGGCTGCCACAGCCAGTGTACCGGAAGTAGCCTACAACTTCGTTATTTTAAACGGAATGATGCAATTTTTATTGGATATTTGAATTGAAAAGCAGTTTTTTTTAATCAAAAATTCCGTCTTATTTTTTACACAGGGTTTGTACTTTTACAATAGGAAGATGCCCAGGTTTTTCCTTTTTCTATATTTTTCGGTATTCAAATAAAATCACCTAAGGAAATAAAAGGTGCATGTAATGAGAAATGTTATCTTAAATGTTATTCTAATTTTAAGGAAAACGAAACGTAAAACCATTTTTGGCTCTTACTAGAATATGGGAAATTTACAGCAACAAAGAGATATTATAGCACATACTATGGAAGCAGTAATTCCTAGGTATAGATATGTCAGAGAAGAAAGCATGAGAGCACTCAATAATGCATTTCATTTTCAATTAAAGAATCATCGAATTCGAGTTTGTAAACTTTTTTTTGACACACTGAATATTACAGATTGTATAATTTGAACTGTATTGGCAAAACGAACAAATGTGCCCAATATACCGTATTTTCTCGAATCTAATCCGCACCTTTTTTACAAATTTCATATGCTCAAAAATCAAATGCGGATTACAATCGGGTGCGGATTAGATTCGCAGTCGTATAGTTGAAATTTAGAAAAAACCAAAAAATAAATTACATAAATAAATCATCACATTATAATAATAAAGCTTTATTAAGGGCTTTAGAACAATATTTACATTTTTATACTATATCATCTTCATCGGTAGTATCCTCAATCGTACTCTCCGGTGAGTCGGAGTCAACTCTCTCAGTGTTATCTTCCCATATTATGTCATCTTCGGAACCATCCAAAGCATTGGTTATGCAACACTTCTTAAATGATTTAATAATAATGTTCTCCGGGATCGCTTTCCATGCCACCGACACCCACCGAGCAAGTTCAGAAGCAGAAGCCCGTTTAATTTTTCCCGTTTCTGTTAACTCTCGAGCGGGATCTGCAATCCATTTTAGATATTGTTTTCTTAAATTATCTTTAAATGGTTTATTAATAGATACATCCATAGGTTGTAGTACGGATGTCATTCCACCAGGTATTACGACAAGTTCCGTGTGTAATTCTTTAAGGCGATTTTTTACAGATTCAGTGAGATGTCCTCTAAATGAATCAAGNTACGATTCATACAATTTATGAAGAACACATCTTTGCACTCTGGAATAAAAAGGGCTCCATATGAGGCCATGTTCGGGGACAAACCGAAAATTGGATTAAAAACTTCTAATATTCCATTAGAAGCAATGGATAGCGTAACAACCGAAGAAGATCTGGAAAATGTGATTAATTCTATTCTGATTGAAAACACAGAAACCGCTCAACTGGAAACAGAGCAACCAGCGCTGAAAGGTGTTTCAACAGAAAAAGATTTAGAAGAAGTGGTTACGTTGGTTGTTACTGACAACACACAAACCGGATAATCCCAATTGCACCAAACAGCAACGACCGAAAATGTACCACTAGAAAATAACAGTAACACTCAAACACTCTCGTATGAAATATGCGGTAGTTGTTTCAATCCCACTAATCGTGATGCCTCACNATATTCAACGAACTTGCTACTTTCATTGCTTCCTCACGAAGTAAATCGTAACTCACATACAGTCCCTCCTTTCGTCTTTCTTGAAAGAACCGGAAAACTACCTGGTCAATTTCAGGAAATCGTCCTTTCTTTGGTCCTGTAAATTTTTTGCGCGATGCCTTACAGCCTGTAATAGCTGCCTTGTGTTTGCGCCACAGCCGAACGTTACTTTCATCAACGCCAAATATTATACCAGCTTTTCGATTTCCTTCTTTTTCCGCCAACTGAATAACGTCTCGTTTGAACTTCGCCGTATAGGAGAATCTCTTCGATTTCTGCTGTCTTTCTTCCATAATTACGCTGTTATAGGTATATATAATTAAGCACACAACACGTTCGAACTACTACGAGGGTATGAACTGAATTCGTGTTAGGGATTACCATGAGTTTTTAAAATAAAATTTATTTTACAATTTTTTTTCTGGCTTGGTAAATATACCGTCAAACATTCTATTTGAAAAAAAAATCGTAAGCTAGGTATCGTTAAGTGCATCGGTGCCAGTCGGCAAAAAAATATATTTGTGGATATAACGTGCGTCTCGTCGCTTTGCCGCCGTCGGATTGTACAAAGAAAGATGCGGATTACATTCGCAAGCTAACTTTTTCTACCATAATGCATTCTTAAAATCAGGGTGCGGATTAGATTCTAGTGCGGATAAGATTCGAGAAAATACGGTACTTGAACTAGAAAAAGGGGGAAACATAAAAACCATAAACAAGTTGACAATGAAATAAAGGAGAGTGTTAGAAGGCATATTGCTGCAATACCAACAATTGAAAGCCATTACACACGAGCGCATACTACTCGCCGTTTCGTTGATGGAAGTAAAACCATTGCAGAAATATATCGAGATTACGTGAATAACCAAAAAGAATCACATAAACCTTTCGCAAACTGTGTTATGTTTTATCGAATATTTACTGAAGACGAAAGAAGAAAGAAATTTCTCTTGTTTTACTACCAAAAAAGGTAGATGCGAAACATGGATTGCTTTTGAAAATGCTACCGGTGAAGAAAAAGAGAATTTGAAACCAAAATACGAGAAACATTTAAGAGAGAAAGATCTCGCTAGAAAGAGAAAAGAACTGGATAAATAAAAAGCTAACGAAAATGTCATAGTTGCTTGCTATGATCTACAGGCAGTGTTTCAATGTCCCAAGGGTTAGGTACCGGCGAGACGATAGCAACAAACCGCCCAGCAACAAACTTTTTCCTTTATATTTCCACCTACTTCTAGGGCCCATATCTTTGTTATTTAGAAAGATAGCGAAAAACTAAGCACACGGTTGGAAAGCTTGGTCTTTTCTCTATCTTAAACCGAGTTTTCGTCCGCCGATATGTTGATAATAAGAGCAAGAAAAANTCGGTCAGTTTTAGCGGTAGTGTTAGAAGCTACAGAAGATGGTTTTTACCGCTTGGGTACAAAACTAGGAGTCATTTCAAAATACTACAGTCGTTCAGAATTTAGTATATGTCCTGCTAACATTTTGAAAATTGAAGAAATCACCAAAGATAAGGAAGTTTCTCTTAGATCGGTGGCTACAAGTCAATCTACTGGGCATGGGCAAGGTTTCAAAAAATGTTACTGTAAGACTAAATGTCAGTCAAACAAATGTGCTTGTCGAAAAAATAATGTATTATGTAACTCAAAATGTCACAATAGTCTAACTTGTACAAATAAATAAAAAATGCATTTTTTTCTTTGTTTAAAATATTACAGTAATATGTATATCGTCTATTTGCAGATGGACCGTTTATAAATAGACTAGTCCTTTTTCAAACCGACTAGTCCGTTTATTAAAGAACAAGCTTCTTACACATATAGACTAATAATTTCAGTCCATTTACATATGGACTAGTCCTTTTGTATACGGTCTTGTTTACATATATGGTCTGTAACATATACAAACAATAGCACAAAGTAAAAACGAAGATATTGAAGTAATATTCCACAGTGACAATTGTGGTGGACAACAAAAAAACAAAGTAATGATAACTGTATACTTATACGCACTTTTCAAAATCTCCAATATTATGCACATCCAGCACAAGTCCGGGCACACACAAAATGAGGGTGACTCAGTACATTCAATAATTGAAAGGCAAGTTAACTTTAAAATCTGGACCTGTGTACACTCCCGACCAATTTGTTTCAATTATCAGAGCTTCTAAGAAAACGGGTCTACCGTATAAAGTTAACGAACTCTCACATGAATTTTTCTTTGACATGAAAGATTTGTCTAACCAGATTCTGCCTTCCATACTCCAAAATAATGAAAACGATGATTTTAAAATTAGCGAGGTGAGAGTAATTAAAGTCAACAGAGATTATCCAAAATCATTTTTCTACAAAACAAGTTTTGATGATAGAGAATTTCTAGAGGTCAAGTTAGATAGAATCAGGAAACGACGTAGAAAAGGACAACCCCAAAAAATAAATTTTCAGAATATCCAGCTGCGACCGGCTTTTCCCAGAAAACTAAACATACTAGATAGAAAAATAACCGATTTAATTGAACTTATCAAAAAACTATATCTCTAAAACGTATAGGCCATTCTTCGAATCTTTATAATTTAAACTGATGATCTCTTATTTCAAGAAGAAAGAAATTTCTCTTGTTTTACTACCAAAAAAGGTAGATGCGAAACATGGATTGCTTTTGAAAATGCTACCGGTGAAGAAAAAGAGAATTTGAAACCAAAATACGAGAAACATTTAAGAGAGAAAGATCTCGCTAGAAAGAAAAAAGAACTGGATAAATAAAAAGCTAACGAAAATGTCATAGTTGCTTGCTATGATCTACAGGCAGTGTTTCAATGTCCCAAGGGTAATACATCAATATTCTATTACAAATCTAAATTGAATGTTTTAAATTTAACATTTTATGAAATGAAAAACAAAAGTGTAACTTGCTTTGTATGGCACGAGGGTGAGGGTGACAGAGGAGTCAATGAAATTGGTACATGTGTACAGGGTGTCCCACGATGAACTGCGTCGATCGATATAGGAGAAACTATGAGTAGTATCTTTCTGAAAATTTGTAGGTGCACTTATGTCGATATGCCCAACTCACCTAAAANGAACCACGCAGAGAATTTTGTTGAATTATGATTGAAGAGGATTAAAAATTGTGTTAAGAATTGATGTGTCATGCGAGTTGTTGTCAAAGTTGATTTGAGGTTATATTTTTATTTATTTGGGGATTTTTCATTTTTCTTGTTTGGTAATTTAGTAGTAAAAGTCGTTGTCGATTCGTTCATAATTTGAAAAGACA